CTGCTGTACCCTTACAGTGTTTGCCTGCTTACGCCTGCTGCCTGCTTTGGTCAGGGTGGAGTACACAGGGCCCGAGACTCTTAAGGGTAGTAGTAAGCCTTTTGGGAAGGGTTGTAAAGTCTTGAGCCTCAGAGTTTTTAACACTGAGTAGTGCATCTTCCTACTACCCTCTGGATCTGTCCTTTAGACTCTTCAATTTGTCCTCCACTAGTGTAATAAGGATGGTGCATTTTCTGGGGTCGAGGTGAGGAAAAGCACGTTTGGGAATGAATTTGAGGCCCCCTCTTAGGAGCGAGTTGAGTGTCCAGCAGGTGCCTGCCCATCGAGGGAGGGCTGGGAAGGTGCCTCTGCCCAGCTTTGCTAGTGAGCACAGGCTGGTTCAGTGGCTTCTCCTGAGGACTGCCCCTGGCCGTGCAGCCCCTCCTCTTGGGTCAAGGCTGCTTCTGTTTCAGCTGAAGGTGGGGAGAAGAAAAAAAGTCAGTTAGGATGCAGGTTTTAAGAAACTCTTCTGATGCTTATTTACTGTAACTAAGATATCTTTGATAGAGATCCCATGCTATTTTTCAACAGGGGGGTGTTTGGGCAGAAAAAGCTTCCCAGAGAGGAGCTCTGTTAAACATGAGTTTCTCTGGTATCATTGATTGACCTGTGGCCCTAAATTATGTGTTCTTATTTTGAGTTTTTTCTTATGCATGGTGTGTAAAAGCTAGTGTCTGAAAATGCTTATTTTTATATTGGAAAGCGCTGAACATTTTCATTTATCTTCTTTGTTTGCCTCCTAGAACAATTTTTTCGTTTAGCCCTTTCAAGACTGCAGAACTGTGGACTTTCCAGTGAAGATGATGACAGGTGAGGTGGTTTGTTTGCTACTGTTTGTTCATCACATTTCTGATGTTTATCTGAAAAGGAGTGTGAGTGGCATTATCCTGAAAATGCTCCAGTTTTCCAAGATGCAGATCTGACTGACAGTGTCTGAGCAGTATCTAAGTTTGGTTTTAAACATATGTAACACCAGCATTCAAGAATAATTTTGCTCAGGGAGGTTAAATTTACAGATTTCTTATTATTTTTGGTAGCTGAATGCAGTCCTGTCTTCCTGCAATATCTCTTTATGCTTCAGAGAAGTGAATCCATCCTTTGAATATGATCTCCTCTTTCAAAGTTGCCATCAGTGTAAGCTGGGGAGTGTTTGAGATAAGCAGATGCAAACCAAGGACTGTTTCTACGCAGAAGAAATCTTATGCATGTCCCCCAGCCACGGCATCCGCTGCACACCCTTATTTGCATGTATGCTCCGCTCCCTTTCCTGTGAATGAGGAAGACGTAGGCAGCCAGGAAAGGTCCTGGCGTTTTGGAGAGTAATCAGGGTGTGGCATGGTGTGGAGCGTGCCTCAGATAACCCGCTTCCCATGCGTTAGATCGTCCTGTTTAAATCTCTTGGTTAGAAGCCACTTCTGCCAGGAATTTTTTGTTTACCTTTGGAGGGTCTTTCTGTTTGTCTCCCTTGTTATTGTGAGGATTTGTTTTGGTTTTTGCTTGTTTTGGGGTTTGTTGGAGGTAGGGTTTAGCAGGTATACTAAAATCTTGTGTTTTCCAAGTGATGCAAATGATGACTTAGATTTGCATTCTAGCGAATGGGCTGACAACCTGCCATGCATCATCTTCGTACGCAGGCTGCTTAATGGAGATGAATGCAAATAATGCTGAGGTTGGCTGTAGTTGGGTTTGGTTTTTAATCAAGGAGATCAAACAGAAGGCTGTTCCTTCAAGCCAGATTCCAGGATCACAATTTAATTAAATTTGGGTGGAATATGAACGAAATAATTGGTGTTCAAGCCTAAGAATTACCTGGTTTTTAATACCTAGTTTTCCTTTTCATCTAGTGTAGTCTTTCCTTTGCCTATGGTTAGTGTCCATTTCTACGATGTTCAGGTTTACTCTTAAGGAGAGTGGAGGGGGAGGGGGAAACCCACAACCTGTTTTCTATCAGGAGTGTGATAACTGGGGAAAGCTGTACAGAATTGGCTGACATTGTCTGGAGCTTGAAGGAGAATGCCAAATGTTGTATGAGACGTTTCCTGAGATGACAAGTTCAGCACTACAATCGTTTTGGCTGTAGAGACGCTTGCAACACAGCATATAGTCCCTTTTACGTGGAAGCGTCTTTCCTGCGGATCAAAAGTAAGGTAATTGGTATTTATCCTTTGAATGTAGGTTCCCTGAGATACAGATATGTTTAGGGGTTCTGGGAAGGATGCTTCTTTTTAATAAAAGTAATATACTTTGCTAGTACTGAAGCAAAAACAGCATTACCATTTAATAGGCAGTAGTATAAGCAAATCGAATGTGTGGTGACTTCATACAATATATTCTTTCTAGATCCATTAGGTTTTGTCTATAGCACTGTTAGGGCATGGAATCACTGTAGTGAGGATGAGCTTTTGTACATTTAACTGCAGTACAGTGGCTTTTAAATGTGAAATGCTGGGAATTAAGCCTAACAACGTTCTCCGATAACACAGAATTATCAGGCAGGTCTGTAGTGCTGCTGCCTAATTCAGCGTTCTTGGCAGAAGGCAACCCAGATTGCCCTATAAACTTCTCTTGGGGCAGCATGGGGGAACTTGCTATAAAGTATTTTCACAAAATCTGGGCTGTATGAGCACCAAATCTGTGGTGCCCCTGTAGCTGCATCTGAATGCGACTGAGGGGAAACTCTACGTAGTGAGCTACAAAGGATTTTTTTTCCGAATGGTGCCATTTTTCAAACTTAGGTGGAATTCTCACTGCGTAAAGGCCTAGTTATACACAACTGTTTGGAAGTGAACTGTGTCACTGACTTCAGCTCACAGGAGAAGGATTTTCCAGGCTAGGGGTATATCCACGGAGTAACCTCTGAACACCTACTCTACCCGTTCCCTCATAATGACTCACTGGGCACTCTTGGGAATCTGAGCTCAGCAGCAGTAAATTGTTACAAATACGTTTACACAATCCTAAATCAACACAGTGTGACCTCTGCATCCTCCTATTACCAAATAACCTCAAAGGAAATAATTTGCATTCCTCAGCTGAAGATGGTGGAGGGAGTGGGGGGATGTCAGAGCAGTGTTAGCAGGGTCAAGGGGGGGGAGTTAGAGCAGTATTTCAGTGGAATGCGGAGGACGCAAGGCTTTTGACCTTTAAAGGCTACATTTGAACAGTATTTTTCTTCTATAGACTAGGAAAACATTTCTTTTAGCATTTCACGGTATAAACAAAATACTTAAACTAGTGCCTGGCCTTGAGATTGAGGCTCTTGTGCACCATGTAAATAGAGCAGTGGTTTGAGTGACTGAAGGGTTTCAGTGACTAACACTTAGATGTTGGAGATCAGTTACCAAGCAATTGGCATCAGGAACCATTTATCCTCTAAGTAGATCTCCAACTCCTAAGCACAATCCCTTAGTCACTCACACCATTGCTATAGCAGTTACTGTAGCTGAGGCCTTGGTGTTTTTCACTTTCACCAGTACTGTGCTGGCGGTTGTAAGCTAGACCTCCAGACATCCCAGTCTGTCGTTTCACTCGTAGCACACCTGATGGTGTTTACAGACATCTGAATTTATTTATTGTCTTGCCAGTCTATTGACTTGGAGAAAGGGTGAGTGTTAGGGGTTTTTTAATATGAAAACATTATGAAAAAAGAAACTTTTAAGAAGTGGTGTTTGTAAAGTATCTGGGAGTAACAGTGATGAAAATCAGTGTGTTAATTTCTGTGATCTACAGTAAGTACAGGTCAGTTTATTTAACTTAAATATTTATCTTTGAATACAGTCCAGCCTTGCTACATATTCTTTATCTCCATGTCATATGTGGGTTTCCTATGAGACTATGTTCTGTTTTTTCACTCTAGTAGCATAAACTGTTTCCTTCCCTGCTTATCATTGTTCGTGGAATCTGTGCTACTGTGGACGTAGGTCTATAATCATAACTAGAGGCATTTTAATACTGGGAGAGGTTGGGGGGGGGCGGGGCGATGGACGGACACACACAATTCAGAAGTAGTATATTTGTGCCAGACTTGCTGTTTGACTTGGCCTGCTTTCACTTCCTGGGCTTGATAGAGATTAAAAATTGGTCCTTCTAATTCGTTTGACTGTATTTATGTCTGTGTTGATGTACAGTGCATCAGGAGTGTTTGATCTGCTTGTTGGCTTTATCCATTTCAAAAGTTCACATACCGATGTTAGATGCTTTATTGTTCATTTGGAGGCAGCCGGTAACTTTATTTTTGAGTATGCATGTTGTTAAGGACACTGGAGTTTGAAAGCTTAATCACACTTAAAATTTCACTCCATTTTCCATCCAAGTAGTATTAGTCAGCTCTCAGCCGTGAATAAGACCTTGTCTGTATTTGTCAGAGGGGAGAGAATTTGGACTTGACTTGAGAGCAGCTGCCTGGCTTCCTGTAGCTGCACGAACCTCCATTGTCCAGCTCTAAAGTCATGTTTTATTTTATCCTTCCTGCCCTGAGCGTGTCCTGCTGTGTCACAACTGCACAGTGCAGAGAGGAGAAACCAAAGAGCCCTCCAGTCTTAGACTAACACCGGGAGGTGTTAGTTCAGTAGGTGGGGACTGACATAGCAAAGAAGCTTCTTAAATCATAGCCTCTGCCAAAATTGAAAGGTATTGAATAAGGAATCACTAAAAGTTCATGTACAAGGGTCAGGACAAGCAGTGCCTCTTCAAAGTAACTTTCTGGCTGCTTATCGTGGTCAGAATAATACAAACGACTTGTAATGGATTTGACATAGTTTTAGTGAAATCACACCAAGCTGTCAGAGTATAAAAGCAAGATTAGGTCCAATCTTCCTGGCTTTTTATCGAGACCTGAAGACGAGTTCACGCACAGTGCCTCAGTCAGTGCCAAACCAGGGTGTCCACTGAGCGCTGGGGGTGGATGCTCTTAGCCAGCAGGTAACACCGGGAGTTGGAGTGTGAGTAGCAGCTCAGGATTTGCATTGTGGTGATGAGGTTTGTACCACCGTTATCCAGCTGCAGCTGTGTAACTTTTGGTGACACTAAATTCACATGTTTGAGATGATTTGAAACTTTTGGTGATCTGCAGAGATGTGCTGTAAATGACAGGAAAAGGGGATACAACCATAGACTAATTCTGTGCTTCCTCTTTCTCATTGCACCTGCATTACTTACTCATCATGAGGTTTTATCTAGTTTGCCTTACTCCTCCCTGTTTTTCCTCACTGTTGCTTCTCTGTAGCCCACGATCTTGCTTTGAGCTCCAAGACTTAGCTGCAAGGAACAAAGTATAATTCAGGAAAAGGGTAACTTCTGCTCCCTTCCTCTCACAGTAAACTTTGCAAGATGCAGGTGTTCATCAGCCTGTGCTCTTAGGGTATCTTAAAACTAGATGGAAAAACAGAATTGAAAATAAATGGGCTGAAGCAGTCTTGGAGTAGAGAGGGAAGGGTTTTGTGGGTGTAAAGGGAATGGGCAGACTGAGGGCAGGATGGTGTACAGGTTTCCACCCCTCTGGCTTGCGAGGTACTGAGTCACATGGACTTGTGGCATTAGCTGGAAATCTTTTTATGAATGCTTGACTTCTACTAAGCTGCTCAGGAAACACTAGAGAAAGGTGTGATGGCTTTTTCCATGTCACCCCACCCTGAGAGCTGCTTTTAGCAGCACTATTTTTGTGTGTGTATAGATATATATAAACTTCTAAAGGCAACCCCCTCTGCAGATGTGGCCCTAGTAAGCTGTGAGCCTGTTTGTGCCTGAAGAAAACACCAACATTTTTATTTTGCCGTTGTTCCTGCTGCAACCAAGTTGAACAGCCCTTGCTCTAAATAAAGAAGCATTTTTACCACAAAACCTGATGTGCTTGCTCTGTAAGGAGTAGTTTGCAATCCTGTATGGTGGATGTAAAGAGACAAAATTTCTTGAGTAAAAAACCAGCAAGCCTGGCTGTGCACATCTTTTAAGCAAAGCACACATTTCACTAACGTTGAAATGAGGCAGTAGAGAGCAAGAGATAGGCCTAGAAAACCTGGGATAACTTGGAAAATCTTACCATTAGAGTTTACTTTTGTAAATTCAGCATTTGCTTAATAACCTTTTTGCGGGTGCTTTTGAACTCTGAATGTATTCTGAATTTGGAAGGAATTACTGTTTTGATGGGATATTGTATAAGACCTCATCTGAAGCTCAGTGTTTTATATACTTTTCAGTGCTGTCTAATTTGAATCTAGTCATATGAAAATGCCATTTTTAATCAAGCATATCCCTAGTGTTGTGACAGCATGCACTTTCAGCACATGTTTAGACAGCACTTTCTAAGTAGAGGGAGAAAAATCAACAGGGTTGTATTAATTTGGAGTGTCATCGCATGTTGTTTGGCTCAGGTTTTTCACATGTACTCTCCAGAGGCCTGTAAGGGAGATCGTGAACAGAAATCTTGCTGCTTGAGCTTATGCTGGAGAGCTGGAGGTGTACAGTATTGTGGAAGCACCTTGATATGAGTTAGTTTTTTCCAGACATACCCTCTCCTAGTTGGTTCCCAGACTGGGAAGGGTTTGAAGCGTTGTGGAAGATAGTTTCTCTAATGGCACACGTGTCGCCAACTGCTTAGATAATCTTAAACAGCAAGCCACTAGAAAAAAAGACACGTCTAAAACCAGTTTCACGTGGGAGAAGCCCTCTCCTGACTTTGGCAGTCTCCTGATGCAGCTGCATCTTTTGAAAGCAGCCTTAGCGTGTGCTACAGGACCGAGACCGCTCTGTAGGGGCCAAGCGGTGTAGAAGACGCGGGACCTCCGTTAGCAGTAAATAAGCCAGCTAAATACAAATACATCGTAGAGGCAGGGAAGCGGCACATATCAAAATTTCTGTTTGTTCCACAGGGTTGCCTGTCGACGGTGTATTGTGGTCGGTAATGGAGGAGTACTTCGAAATAAGACATTAGGGGAGAAAATTGACTCCTATGACGTGATAATAAGGTAAATGGTACCTCCTTTTCATTTTGGGTACGTGCAAAGAATTAACAAACATGCTGTCTGTGAGTAGCTTTGGAGTTCAGTTGCTATACAAATGCAAATGTGTAAAACTTCCTATTTAACTTACTCTGTCACAGTCTTCACTTAAAAAAAATTAAGAAAAGTTGGGTCAGTGTTTTATTACACACTGATTGGTTCAGGGGAGGGGAGACACCACTGGGTGGTCAGTCTGCCTTGTGTACAGGTACGCACGTGCAAGATGCTGCCATCAGGGATGGGTCCAAGCATGTGCCCCTCACTGTGAGCCAGCATCCCGAGCAGTCCTGCCTCTCACCTTCCACACTGCGCCTGTCTTGCTATAGTGTGTGGATTCAACATGTAACGTTTGTGCTGGGAAGTCCGTCTCAAGGCACGGGTCAACCATAGGATGATGTTGATGTCTGCCCCTTTTCCTCAAGCATGTTAGTTCATATTGGAAGTCTGAGATACCTCAACCTACCAGAGGATGCTGGGATTGGAAGAAGAGGCATCTGGACTAGGGCAACTGCGGAAGGGCTCAGAGAGGAACAGGCAAGGAGGAGTGGGGAATGCTCGAATGCCAAGCAATCTGAAAATGGACTATTTGGCTAATTATAACAGAATTTTCTGCACACCAAAGAAAAAATATATCAGTTTCTCCTTCGCAGGAACTGAGATGGTTAACTGATTAAACAGCCCTTCTGCCTGTAGGTATCCTGTCAGGTAGTGTGCCTGAACCCTCTTTCACTAAAACAGCTGAGCTGCAATTTCAGCTTGTCTGCTTCAACATTGTGTTAACATTGAACAAAATCTCATTTTTGTTGCTTTGCCATCGTTTCAGTCTTCAAGGACTACCATAAAAACTTTTATACAAAGCCTGGAGTTTGACATGCACTTGAGAATGAACTGAAGATGGAAATGAATAAATGAGATTCTTCAGTCGTAGCTCCCCATACAAACTTAAAACACAGAAAGTGATCCAGATAATATCCCTGTTCTTAGGAAACTTTACTGGTCTGACAACTTTGTGCTTTACAAAAATGCACCCACCTTGTACTTATGTTCACTGTAGTATAATGATGCAAGGAAACTGCATGGATTATTTTTATGTTATTTCAAGTATTTGGGCTCTGCTCTTTAAATGGAAATCTTTATGTAGACTGGTGTCACACATTTAAAACCAGCTCTAAGTTCAGAACTGTTTTTGAAATGCGGTACATGTTTGCTTAGTGTGAATGAGCAAAGAGGTGGTATTTGCATTCTTTATTTAATGACAACTTCTGATAAAGCCCTGAAATACTCCCTTGTCTGCATACCTTGTTGGCCAAATGCTTGCTCCGAAGCAGCATGCCTCCTGTTCTGAGCGGTCCGTCACATTGGCAGGAATGGAGCATACAGAGACTGCCTGAATTCTCCAAAGAATATGCAACACACCTGCCAAGGAAAAGCTGCAAGCTGGAGACTTAAACACAGCCCCTCTAACACCTCAGGGCAGAGCCCTGACCCACCTGCTCACTGCTTATTTATCTGAGACCCCAGTGCAGTGCCAGCTGTGCACGTAATACTTTAAAAAAAAAAAACAAAAAAAACAAAACCAAACACAACCACCAAAAAGCCCCAAACAAGCCAAAAAAAGCAAACAAAGATGTATCAGCATCAGGTACCCAGTCATAATCCATGTTCCTATATGCTGTAGGAAGTGAAGAGTATTAAAAGATTCTTGAATTGCCTCTTGTATGACTCGGATGGCCTCGTAGCATGAATGGAGCAATGGGTAGTTGTCCAAGCCAGATGCTGTCTCTGGTCTTCTCCAGTTTCTGAGTTGGAGCCAAATCGGAAGGCGGCCTGCTCGAGTGACACACGATAAGGGTTGTGTGGTTGTATTCTAAACTACCTTGGCCAAGTTCCTGGGTGTGCTTGATCCCTCTGAGTTAGAGGTTCACTGCACCTGATAATTGCTCATCTGCTGTGTAATGCGGTAAGTGCTGGGCCACTAAACCCTCCTGTACCTGGACACACTGTCCGGCCCGCAGGGTAATGCTTGCGCCAGCCACTGCACGCTAAGGACGTGGCTGGGGTAGTCATTGCTATTCTCTGTGTCTGTCTTCTACAGGATGAATAACGGCCCTGTTATAGGGTACGAAGAGGATGTTGGGAGGAGGACGACTTTCCGCCTCTCTTACCCGGAATCCATCTTCTCCGATCCGATCCACTATGACCCTAATACGACAGTTGTTCTCATTGTCTTCAAACCCCGTGACTTGAAGTGGCTTTGGGAGATACTGAGTGGTCAGAAAATAGTGAGTGTAATTATTAATGCACTTTGGCTCAGCTTGCCACACACCTCTCGTGAAATATCTCTTTTGCTTTTAACCTTAAGTCACTCTAGCTGGATCTCCATCAGTCTGCTCAATATCCCTTTCCCATAAGTGCTTCTGTCTTCCTTCTCATCCACATATTTCATCAGTTCCTTCCCTCAAAGCAGTTTTTCTCTTGGAAATACATTTTTATCCTCTTCCTAGCACTGTTTTTTATTTTGACATGCATGCTCTAGCCATTTCCCAGATTATTTTATCCTGTGCACTTGCTGGAATTGCATAATAATGTTGGAAGGGACCTCTCTCTGGAGGTCTTCAGTCCAAAATCCCATTGAAAGAGAGCAGGGCCAAGTTCAAAGCCATGCCAGTTTCTCAGGGCATCATCGAGGTAAGTTTTGAGTGTCTCCAGAGATACTTCTACAGTCTCTGTTTCAGTACTGCAGCACCCTCACAGGAAAGAATTTCTCCTCACCCTTTCACTGTGTGCCTCCAAGAAGAGTCTGAACCTGTCTCTTTTTGTAACCCCCAACAGATAGTTGAAGATGGCCTGAACAAACCCAAGGTCCTCAGTCTCTTGTTTGCTGTGTGTTCCAGCCCCTCAGATGTTTTAGTTGTTTTCTGCTGAGCTTGCCCCAGTTTGATGCTCTCTCTTGCATGGGGTGGGGGAGCCCAAAATCGCATTTGAGACCACAGAAAGGCACAGTGCCAAGTACTTGAGAACGGTAACTTCTGTTTACCTGTTCTCGGTGCTCTTATTAACGTGGCCAGGCACACAGTGAGCACTTACTGCCACTGGAGCACGCTGCTCCTGGCGTCTTGACCGTCAGGGACCTTTCTGCAAAGCTATTTCCCAGCCAGCCCCAGCCTCTGCTGCTGCCATGGGTTATCCTGTTGCAGGAGCATGATTTGGCACGTGTCTTTGTTGACCCTTGGGAGGTTTAATGCTCCTCTTCTTCCTCTACCTTCTGCCCTTGGGTTTTATTCTGGTTAGAATTGCTACAAAACCAACTGTTCATAGCTGTTCAAAATGTGCATTTGTCTCTTACAGAGTGCTAAAGGCTTTTGGAAGAAACCAGCTCTGAACATGATATACAAATCTAGTCAAATCAGGGTTCTTGATCCCAGCATCACCAGGAAAACGGCTTATGAATGGCTTGGTTTCCCTACAAGGTTTCCCAAAAAAGAGGTGGGCTTTTTTCTTCTGTGCCTTTTGGTTTTATGCAGCCAAATATGTGCTCAGAGGTAATTATCTCTGTGTTATAGTGGACTCTGCTGGAATGTCTTTTAGGTTCACATTGCATTAGATTGCATTTAGATGGTCCTCAAAAAAGATGGGAAAATGGTATCCGGGAAGAAGGTGGGTAGCCTTGTGTGCCAAAAACATTTTTATGGATCCTGTAATTTAGAGTATGAAATGAGACTGCTCTTGTGGACCGACATAATGCCTCTTATAAAATTGGGAAGAGCAGACAGGCATTGGAACATGACAGATCCAGGCAGCCTCTTGAAATATTAAGCAGTCTTGAATTATTAAATGTAGGGTGTTTTATAGCTTTTCTTAAAAAAGCCCAAACAAACCACCACACAAAACAAGACGACAAACTGGAAAAAAAAAAAAACAACACCCCACCAAAAAGAAAACTCAAAAGCAACCCCACACCAACCAACCAAAATTCCCCCCAAACCCAACAACCTGGTAGTTCGAACACTTCTGCAATTGCACACTGCTGGGGGGGGATGGGGACCTGGCAGCATACAGGATATTCCAGCCCCACGCTAATGACACATGTCTAGCAGCATTCTTGTGCTCACAGAGTTGATACCAGGCAGTGTAGTGAGTTAGCCAACAATTTGGACATAAAAATACATTTTAACTGTCAGTTTGTGACTGAAGAATGTTTGTGATGAAAGGTAAGGCTTCAAGTGGGAGCCCTGCCTGGCGTGGTCAGCACTGACCACGTGCTGCTTAGCACAAACACGGTTCCCTGGGGTCACATTCCCGCGCAGCGCTGCTTTGTCGGGATCGGCGTGGGAACGTTTGACAGGCTGTCACTGTGGAGTATCTACCACCGCTTTTTTCTGGCTTAATCTTTCCAATATGTGAGGGAGTTGAGTTTTTTCTTGCCTTTGGGGGTTTTTGTTCCTTCCCACATTTTCCTTCCCCCCCCCCCGCTTTAAAATTTATTTAATTTTTGGCCTACTAGTGGCTCTTTCCTCCCTTACTGACTCTCAGACTGGAATACCCAGTTTAGCTGCATGCTCACTGGGGCTCAGTGGCATTTCGGCTCTTCAGCTGAGGGTGGGGAAAAAAGCATCTTCTAAAGGGCTGCACAACATCTGTGGCCTCCATGGCTCCAGAAATCCCTCCTGTCTCTTCTGTGCAACCTTCTCAGTGGGAGTTGAAGGAAGACTAGTGCTGTCAGTGAGCCAGAGATGCATGGTGTCCTGGAGCTGGTACGGACGCACAGCCCCCTCCGTCGCTTTGGGTAGCGTGCATGCCCTCTGCTCTTTCTCCCTGGCTGAGCGCCCCTGCCCAGAGCTGGAGTGGAGTGCACCTGTGTTTGGAGCCCTTTTCCACCACCTCCACCTCCCACTTCCTCCATCCCAGGGTTTTTGCAGCCCTTGGTCACCGGCAGCAGCAACAGTCTCACACCTGAGAGGTGTGCATTTCTTCCCATCCCGGGGGCAGCCGTGGCTGGCAGCCTGCACGTCTGACACAGCTCAGCTAAGCTGCAGGTCATGCTTTGGGGGTGCCCGTCTCCAGGGCAGCCTTTTGTGGGACCTGTTTTGGAGCCCTTGGTCCCGTAGCGCTTCCCTGGGGAGGGCTGGGACTGCTGTCCTGTGCTTCAGCCCCCTCTGCCTGCCGGAGATGCTGAAGACCACTCTTGCTTTCCCTGCTGTCTCTGCCTTTTCCATTAGGCCAGTCTTGTGTTCCCCGTGTGCGTCTTTGTGCGTCGTCCAGCGAGCACTTCTGTTACTTCATGAGCAGAGCTGGGAGGAACGACTGTAAAATCAGATGTGCTGCCCCAGCAGCACCGAAGTCGGAAAGCGTGGCAGAGTCATTCCAGGGCTGTGCCCATTCCCATTAAACTGACTGGCTGAACAAATCTCAGTACAAGCCCAGGGTGTCTAGGTAGTGCTAGGACAATTTTAAAAGTAGTTTGCCTTTTTTTTTTTTTTTTTACTATATTCTTTTGAGGTGAACTTCACGATAGCCAAAGGTAAACAGAGCTAGTTGTAACCTGAGATATTATTGATATTTCCAAATAGCACTAAACCTGGCATGTAGCATGACTGGCTGAACAAATCTCAGTACAAGCCCAGGGTGTCTAGGTAGTGCTAGGACAATTTTAAAAGTAGTTTGCCTTTTTTTTTTTTTTTTTACTATATTCTTTTGAGGTGAACTTCACGATAGCCAAAGGTAAACAGAGCTAGTTGTAACCTGAGATATTATTGATATTTCCAAATAGCACTAAACCTGGCATGTAGCATTCCTGGTCCTGTTTAGTACGGGTAGTTCAACAGAGTCACCACTGTGTTTATGTTACTGGGCCCCTGGGGCAGAAGGTGATTTTGGTAACTGGCAGGAGCCCTGGGCAGTAGTGTGCATTTTAAGTTGATGTTTCTGGGGTAATTCAAGAGTTATATAAATGTACAAAAAAAATTCTACATGAAAGGTGATAGTCCTATTCTGTGACTTTATTAGGCTTACAAAGCTGATGTTAGTAACTTTTTCCTGTGGATTTGTCCTTTGATCATACAACACAAATATTTTTCTGTGTCATGGAGTGGATCTGCCCTCCTCTCTGCAGGGTTGCCTAGTACTGGTTTGCCTGCTTTGTTTGCAGAGGCAAGTGAACTGAGCCTTGAGTACGGGTTCAAAAACACGTGTGACTTGTGCTCGGTTCGAGGTTTGGTTGCAGCTGCTGAAATTTGTAGCTTATTTGGTCCCTGAGAAAATTGTTACTTCAGCCAAGAAGGGCATGAATTCCTGAAAGTTTTGTCCATTTCTGGGGACGCTTTCCCCCTCAGCTTCATCGGTTGGTCTGATGGAAGAGTTCACCTCTCTCTACAAACCTTGCCTTGTTTACTTCCCCAGATCATTTTAGCCACTGCTGCTTCTAAAAGTCACGTACTTGGTCATTAGATAGGACAGATGGCTGCAGTGAGTTGTTCTGTGCTCTTGCAATGCTAATTTTTGGTTAAGTGCTCTTAATTTTTCACAGTTAAAACCTGTTTATGACCTGCTCATTGCATTTACTGCTGAGCTGTCTCGCAGTAGGGAGAAATATGCGATTTTATCTACAGTTTCTTTTCTTCTAATGGAAATAATAGGAGAAGGTCTGGAATTTCCATGCTGTGAAAAAGTTCAGATGCAGCTGAATTCATGTCTTCATGCTTTTATCATTTGGTGTTATGAAGATTTGAAGCATGTCACGTTCTGTTCATCTGGATCTCCATCATCCAGAGAATTCTGAACACATCTGCTAATTAGTCAGATTTGATGATTGAAATGGTCTCCAATGTATCACAGTCTGACCAGTTTTGTGGAAGTAGGTTGCTGAGCAGAGGGATGGGGAGACCTTGCTGATACCTGTGCAGGAGTGAGGGCTACAGACAGTACGGGCTCGGGCCTCACTAGAAACCAGGCAATCCCAGGGAAGGCCAGTGTGGCAGACACCCCGGTCATGGAAAACCTGCAAGCAGTACCTTACTCCTTCTGAGACGCAACGGGATCAGACTACAAAACCAGACACCTGGAGAGTGGTAGGAGAGCCAGCCTGCCCGATTTCTGCAGTCTTTGTTCTGAGATTTGCTGTCCCCATCAAGCTGCTGGTTACTGATGTGTGCGTGTTCCGTGTTTGGTTTTAGAAACCCAAGCATCCAACGACAGGGCTCATTGCCATTACACTCGCGTTTCACATATGCCATGAGGTTCACCTGGCAGGCTTCAAGTACGACTTCACTGACAAGAACAGTTCCTTGCACTACTACGGCAACGAGACGATGTCTCAGATGATGCAGGTAACAAACCCTTGTTTATGCCGAGAGAAATACAGCTGGTAGGTGGGGAAGACAGTTCAGTATAGATACAAGTGCGGACTGCAGGTCAGAAAGGCCTCCCATCTTCCTGGTATGGCTGCTCATGGCTTAAATTTGCTTGAATCTCTCCATTTCTGCTTTTGTTTCTGAAAAACGTGGATAATGGTATCTGTTTCCCTCGTGCTGTGCCAAATTCCGCAACGTCTGTGTGAGATGCATCCATTTGTATGTTCTGGTTTGCTTTGCTGGCAGTACCCTCAGGCTGCGCGCCTCTGGCACACAGAGGCGGATTTGCTAGCACTAACAGAACATGAACAGCGTTCCTCCTGTTCGCAGTCTCCTCCCTTGGCACCTACCTGCACAATTCCTCTTTAAAAAAGAGGAAGAAAAGCAAAGAGAAATGGAAGGAGTTAAGACCTACAGACTTGCTGCTGGGAAAAGAACTGAATTTCAGAAATTGCAGGCAGAAAAGCGACTCTGGGAGGGGGGTAGGAAGAGCAGGACCTGCTTCCAGGAGGGGTAAACCTCAACTCACCGGGAGAGGGAACATCATGGATGCCTTCTCCTCCCCCCTGCTTTGCTGTGGTCATGTCTCTGCTCTTCAACTCTGTGCCCCGAGCAACTCCATCTCAGCTCTTTACCTCAATACCAGCAGTTTTCTCTTCCACGTGTGTGTCCAGTGCATGTGGGGACCATTTTCTCTCCTCTTCCCTTTGCTGAAGAGGAAGGATGGTGGCAATGCCCACAGGAGCATCTTGTGTCTCTCTGAGGACTTCTAGGTGCCTGCTGCTCTGAGATAGTTTTCCTGACACTGAACTCCTCTTCCTTTTGAGGCTCCTCTCTGCAGGTGCTTTTGTGCAATGCATACCAAGCGTGGGTAGGGTTGGTCACTAAGATGAATAGGCATGTTTCCTAAAACCTTGAAACTTAAACCAAACAACTAAACAAAAACCTTATCGTTAATTCTTTAGTGGCATTAAGTTGTAAGTATTACATTACATCTGTATAATCTTTTATGCAGCATTTATATTAATTTTAATTTCCTGGATTCAGTGTCTTAGGGTTGCCAGTAAACTTAGTTCCCATGTGCTGTCCTGCACTAACCTCAGTGGTCTCTGGCATATCCAAGATGCTGGTACAGCACAGCAGAGGGGCTGGTTTTGGCTTGTGGAAACTGATGGCCAGGCTGCACCCCTTTTACAAATGCCTGGTGTGTGCTTTTCAAGCACCCGTGTTGAGCTTTGCAAATCAGTTGTTTTCTGACCGTTTGTGCGGCGCTGTGGTTACGCTGCCGTTGCCTGTAAGCACGGGAAGGAGTCGGGAGACTTGGCAACGGAAGGACTTCTGCGGGGCCACGTCTCGCCCCTTCTCGCCACTGAAGGGTCATCCGTTTGCGTTTGTGTCCTGATGGAAAATCTGACCTAGTTTTGAGCAATCACTCACCTGTTTTCTTGGGAGACTGCGACAGCCTTTGCGAAGAAGGCTTTTCCCCAGAGCTCTCCTGCTCTTAGCATCTCCCAAGTATCGCAGGTAATGAAAAGGAAAGAACAACAAAGTGATGCTTCTGGTAATAATTTGGATCTAACTCTTCTTGTTATTCCCTTGCATCTCTCTAGAACGAATACCACAACATCAATGCTGAGCAGAAATTTTTGAAGAACCTTATAGACAAGAACTTTGTGGTCAATTTGACGTGAAAGCTGGATGGAAAATACGGACAATCATTATTTTCCAGATACAAAAAACTTTTATTTTTTGTATGACAGTTTTATTTTTTAAGTGCAGCATAACTGTTTACTGTTGAAAAGGAGCACAGAAGCCTCAGCAAGGCAGAAGTGTCTTCTAAGCCTGAGGGTAATGGGCTATTGCAAACAGTTAACTGAATTTCTGTGAAGTTATTAAATAACGGGGAAACCATGAAACTTTCAGCTGAAAGTATCAGGGATCTATAAAAATGTGATGCACATCACTTATTTATCAGCAAGAACTCTTTCCAAATGATTACTTCTCTGGAATACTTCTGTTTCTGATGTTCTCCTGCAAGAGAGTTACACTATCAAGAGACTGAGATGAACAGTGTTTAATTAGTAGGTGGATGTGAAGTCATGAGTGTCTGTCTTGTAGTGTGGAAGTGGCTGTAAAATGCTGCCTGTGAATCATTGCTGTGTGTTTGGGCAAAGGGGGAACATGGAGAGCATACAGGTTTTGATCTGTCCTACTCCTGAGGAGGGGACATCCCGCTTCAGCGGAGAAGCCACGGCTGCATCACTGGCCATCGACCCTGAACCACTGTTTGCCTTTGCTGAAGGCGAAGACCCTCTCGTCTCATTGTGAAGGTGTTGGTTTTGACAATGCTTGTGTGGTACCCAGATTATGGAAAACCATACTCCCCATGCTGTGCATCCAATAAATTTTACAGTTGGTGACTTGGCTTAGAAAAGAGGGAGCTTGAAGACTGAAGAGCTGCCCAACTACCTGTGTGTCAGCCACTTCCCCCAGGCCGCAACGGAAACGTGAGCTGGGACAGAGATGTTCGTGCCTGAGTTTAAATCTAGAGCCAGTGCCTGTTGGGTGCCTGCAGCTCCAGGACAGGATCTTGTGCATCTTTCTGTTCGCTCCCCAAGAATCGAGGTGTATCTTCCCAAACCAGCAGAGTCTCCTTTCTCTGATGCTGTATTGCATTTCCAGGTTCAAAATACATCGCTACGAGCAATGGATGTTCCTGTTTCTGGCAGTGGAGTGTGCTAGGGAATATCCACGATGTACCTCAGCTGAATTATCGTTTGGCTTCTGTTTACCTCTCCTATCTTGACATCAGGTTTAAAGGATGTGGCTGAACGAAATCATTTAGCGGTGGGAACTTATTCGGGCTTTTAGTTGAAACGTTTATTGGGATGTTTGTTTTCTGTATTGGTTTGTCTGGGACAAGCCTGCTGAATAATTTAAATCTGCCTGGGAAGGCCCTTGGCAGCTGTCAAAGAAGAACAAGTAATACGCGTTTCCAATTCTCTGACGTATATTTATTTACAAATTGTGGCAGATTTGCTTAAAGATCTTGTGGTTACCTTGATCAGTCGCACCTAAAGGAAGCACAGTAGTTCACTAAAAAAAAAAAAAAGTCATCTTTAAAGTTGGCAGAAAAACCTTTGCTGTTTTTTAATAAAACCTAATGTAGTTTCAGTACATTCAGGAGCAGCACGCACACTTACAGCATGAGTGCAGACCTCTAGCAGGCCAAGAGCACGGCCTTGGAGTGTCCAGAAGCTGGGGACTACGAGGGAACTGAACACGCTCTCTTTGCTGCAGTGATGTAGGGGAAGGAGTAAGGGTGGAAGTGACCAGAGGGTCAGCTTTAATTTTTTCCTGTTTCTCTTGCAGAGTGCAGTAGGTATTTTAAAACAAACAAACAAAAACCCCAAACCCAAACCACACCCACGCACCTTCCCGTAGTTCTCATCTCCCTCTCTAGCTCCTTGGCTCTGCCATTTGGGACTTGGTGAGGGCAGTGTTGGAGGGGAGCCACAGCCCAAGGTTGGGGTTTTCACCTGGTGACTCCTGAGCTCTGCTCCCTTTCAAACAAACTGGACGTGCATGAAATCACTCTGGCTGTTGTAACTCGTGGGGGCAGGGGAAGGACCCAGATGTCTCCCCAGCAAGGGACAGGCTGTGCTGGGGCGTCCCGCCAGCTGGATATGTGTCCCTTGGGCCCAGTGGCAGTGGGGGGACCCTCGTCCCAGCCATGGGCAGGCCTGGACGAGGGGAGCGGGGCAGATCTGGGGGCATTGGAGCAGGTGACTGGTGGGAATGGGGGAAACCAGGATTTCTTCACCAGGTGGCTCTTACGGTGTTATTTGCGGTTCCCTTTATTGAAGTGTACATTTCTGAGGTTTGTGAGATGTTTGATTAACAATCCGAGTACTGACAGGTTTTGCATCACAGAACAGTGACGCTGCTGGTTTTGTCCATACCAGTATTTCTTTCTCCTGATCATTGCGGTTCATTAGCAAGGCCTGCGTGTGACTGCAGCCCCAGACCTGCAGAGATTTAGGCTACTAACAGTAGGGATTCCACATGAAAAAAAAGCTGAGGTAAGGCTTTTGAAAAGGTCACGGTATTGTCCGAGCACAGCCGTCCTTGCTAGGTGTCGGAGAGCAGAGGCGGTTGCTCCCAGAGCCCCCAGCTCTCCCTGCTGCCGTCGTAGATCCAGCCGCAGCCCCACGTCAGGCAGTTTCCAGGAGAGCTGGAGTTGCCCTCTCCTCACGGTGCCTGGGTTTGTGATGCTGCAGGCTGCTTCTCCCTCTGTCCCCGGGGGCCGGAGGTGGGCAGGGAGCTGCGGCTCTTGGGCTGTGGTGGTTTCCTCTGCTTTTATTTACTCTCTGGAGATACTCCTCCCGCTCATCTGAAGTGATTCCCTTTCCTAATTTACTAGTAAGTTTTCTGCCTTTCTGGGGGGTTGTTCTGCTATAGTTAGAATCCCCCAAAAATAATTAGGAAAAAAGGCTTCATGGCAAGCAAATGGTGTTCCCTCCAATTCTTTTACTTAAGATAGACTTCTTTTTTGTGGGGCTTTTTTTCCTACGTCACCTCTGTAGAGATTGTCAAAGGTAAAAACCAAGTTCTCAGTGTGTTTAATACGCTGTCTGCAAGCACCTACCCTTCGGCTGTTCCTTTTGGTTTCTTCTTGAGCCTCCCCGTTCGCATGACTGACTTGGTTTTGAAATTAAGCACTGCTCCCAGGCATGTTTTCCCCTCCTTTCTGTACTCCGGCAGGGATGCTGAGTCCCCTGATGCTGAGGTTACTGTCCCAGGGTGACCGAGTAACGTTCAGAGCCAGATCTGTTCCCTGGGGACCGAGCCAGGGGCTGACAGCGCTGCCGAACCCCGGGGTGCTGCTCTGTTTCCAAAGCACAGCTTGCAGCCCGGTAGCTCTTCTGCCCAGTAATCAGCAGCAGCCCAAGTGATTCACGTTCCCCAACCGTAAGGTGTTTGGGTAGGCTTCCGTGTACGCCAGCCCTCCCTCGCCCGCTTCACGCCGTCGTTTCTGCGACTCTGCCCTGTAAAAGCAGAGTGTCAGCTTTACACCAGCTTCGTGCAGGCGAGAGCAGGCAACCACGCGTCCCTCGGCAGGGCCCACCGATCTGGTGCCCGGCCTGTCCTTCACGGGTGCTTTGCAGTAACGCTAACTCCAAATACTCGCATCATTCCCGAGAGTGAGCTGCTATTAAGATCTTCATTTCCCATTTTTCCCATTCCTGAAAGTGAAATCTGCACTGAAACTTCCCTCTAAAAGCTACCCCGGTTTTATTTCCCAGCAGCAAAGCTGTCAAATTTGGGATCCCTGGATGCTGCCAGCTTTATTTCCATGTCTGGTAACAGTGCAGCTACATGGGATCCCAGCGCCTCCCATGAGTTTTCTTCCTGTACCAACCGATAAGTCAGATGGCCTCGTCCCCGCTTCCTCTGTCCTGGTCTCCAGCAGCCTGGCTCAGACTTTTTGGGGGATTTTGTCTGTTCTCTGTTGCAAAAGTGTTTTTCTCTCTGCTGTAATAATTAAGGAGAGTACGGAGATGGGACTTAGGATGGAAGGTCACAACCTATTGCACTAACTACAAATCCCAGAGTGCCTGAAAGATCCCGCTACCTGGCGTTTCCCGTGGCCATTTCGGTGGTGACCGTACAGAGCCACAGCTTTGGTGTCAGTGATTCGCTGTGGTACCTCGTTTCCCGTGCCACGCCGTCCTTCGCCACTGTGGCGCGCATGCCCTGACTTCTAAGAGGAATCTGATTTTTCAGAGCACACGAAGCTCAACATCTGGTTTTGGTATCGGTACATACTTATTTGCCATTTGTCTTAAGTTTTATATGCCTTTAAAGTGCCAGCTGTGTTTTGGAGGGTCTCTCACGGTGGTTTCGAGCGGAATTTTGAATGCTACAAATGGAAAGAGATGATTTTCCTGCGAATAAATCGTGTGAAAGACGGTGCCCTCAGGCTTGTTTTTGCAGGGTCAGGGCTGTGTGTGCGTGCGGATGTGTGCCCTGTACCACTGTTGGCACCACGCAAAGTGCAGGGGGAGCGGGGTTTGGCAGCGCGGTGCCGAGTTTCAGAACACACCGCGGTGCTTAGCAGAGCAAACAAGGGCTGAGCGTTTCTGAACCTGGGCAGGCTGAGCTGTGCTGGGCTGGAGGTCTCGCTCCAGGCTGAGGAAGAACTGGGACGTGGTTTTTGCGGCTAAGATCAAGAGCTGCATCCTCCTGATTCTCATTTTTCATGGTTTTTAAATCCTGCCTGTCCTACTGGGGACTTTCAGGGGAATGCTGAAACAGACAGTTAACTGGGAAGATGGGGTGTGAGGAAACGCTGCAGATAGACTGTGAGGGACCCTGACTGCGGCACTTGGCTCACGTTTTGCCTTCTCTCGTGCAGTAAAAATGAGGTGCTGGGGAGCCGCTTAGCCCGAGGCTTCGGGGCGTCACAGGAGACGATCGCCTGGCACAAGCAGGTGTTCAGTGCTGGCAGTTGAGCTGGCCAGCTTGGAGGAGAGGATTTGAGGTGAGATGGAGCCACGCCACTCCATGGGCCGCTCCTTGCAGCGGAGCCACAGTTGAGTAGTGGCACAGATCAGGGACAGGGATGTTGCTGATGTCACACGAGATTCTTCCCATGGGTGAAAAAACGGGGAAGGGGAGGAATGGGAAAAGCTGTTGCAAGTCACAGTGAGGGCTGGGCTGAGCACGAACCCCGAGCAGTGCACCTCTGCCAGCACCTGGTGTCTCGCCTGCCTGCGCGCAGCCCCGGGATGCCGTACGCCATCGGTGCTCCTGCTTCCCCAGGAGCCCCCCAGCCCAGCCCCGTGCTCCCGCTGCGTGCGATGCCAGGCCAGCGACGTGGGGCGGGTTTTCCCCGTGGAGGGGAACTAGAGCCAAGGAAAGGATGGTCTGAAACGGTCATGCTTTGTTTCCTGTCGCTGGCAGCGGGTTCAGAGCCCTTGTGGTGCGATACACGGACCCTCCTAACGGTTCTGCGGAATGAAGACAGGATTTCATTTTATTTTTTTAAAGATATTTAATAAGATATTTTTTCAAATCAGTACAAAAATTTTAAATACAAAATTATTTGCTTTTGACGTATCTCATATGTTCTGGGAACACACCGAAGTCACCAACGCCTGGTAAACTGTCCGTCCGTTCCTGCCACCGTTCCATAAGATTTCTGAGATAGAGCACCACATTACATCACTGGAGTCCTTAGTCAATGTTAGACTGCATTAAACTCTGCATTTAAATAACGGTAATGCCAGTTACATCCAATCTTAGTTCTGCATGAAAAATCTAGTTCATTTTTGAATCAAAAGCGGTAGCGTTAGCGAAAGCCACGGAAGAAGTGATGAGCGTTTAACTCTCTCAACTAGCGTTAACAGTGTGTGACGTGCGGCGCTGTACAGGGCCCCGCAGCGAAGGTCGCTGCCCTTTGGAAACGGATACTCGTGAGGTTAGCACCATGGATGAGCCGACAGCTCTTGCAGCGGGGTCGCTGTCCTCGCCTGCGGAAAAGGTGGGGGCCTGCGGGTTCTCCTTGACAACTGGTAACGTATAAATGAGGGTTGGCAGTCGGCTTTGGCGTGATCGGTACTGCTGGTAAAGTTACCGGTTGATCTCAAACGGCAAATTAGCTAATTAGCAGCCAGCTACTTCTGCTCTGCCTAGTCCCCGAGGAGTAAACCGATTTCGCTGAGCGGCAGAAGAGGCGTCTCTTCTGACAAGCCACGCAGACGCAGGCTCTGGGCGCCAGCGGACACCCCAGCGCCTCTGTAGGGCCCTGCTCCATCCCCCAGTTGCGTAGCGCATGGGGAACCCATCGTTTTTGTCTCCCATCTACCTCATCCACTCCAACTGCCTGAACGCGGACGGAGGCTCTGAGTGCCGCGGCGTGCGGAGGTGAGCCCGGCGCCTGCTGGAGTTGGCGGCAGCCTTCCGGGTCCAGTGACTGCTGGAGAAGGCTCGTGGGGAAGAGTTACACCGACAGTGCCCCTTTTCCATCATAAATAAACTCCTTGGGACAAAAAACCCGACGCCTGCAGGAACGTTTTATGTGGGGGGATGGGGAATCAACGTCTCCAGCTAAGAAAACCTTGGCTTGTCAGGCAGACCTGCAGTCAGAACCCTACAAACCCCCACCCAAGCCCATCAAAAGCCACGCAGTTTTTCCCTAGAGCCTGCGCCTGGCCTGCCGTGGTTGAAGTCGCTGGTTTTCGTCACGTGGCTGGGATCGCCGCGACAGTCGAACACGTGACGGGAGCGAGTGAGCGACCTACGCTGCGTTGAGCCTTCGCACCGAATTGCTGTCAATGAAATGAAGGAAGCATGGCATCACAGAAATATATAACGTACAGCTAATATGTCCCCCTGGGGCGCAAGACAGCCGGTTATGAACCTGATAGGCATCTGTAGATATGCTCACCGCACCTTTTTTATAACTAGCTGTGCATAATGTTAAACTTCGTAATTTCTTTTTGTACATGATGGTCTGAAACGGTCATAAAACGCATCTCTCGTGGTATAAAAGTTTGAAGCGGAGAAGAAAGGTTTTGATTTGTGTGTGTGTCTGGGTTTTGTCTTACATGGGATACAATAAATATCCTGAAAAAGAGGAGTGAACGTACTGCCCGGCATAGAGTCCTGCCGCCTGCTCGGATGGCATCTGAACGTAAACCTTGTCTCCGTGCATCAGCTGGACGACGGCGCTGCCTGAAGCCTGGTCCAGGAAGCCCTTCTTGTACTCGTCGTAGGTGTACATCAGCGGCTCGTTGTTCTTGAACAAGGCCACCCAGACGCTGGCCCCTTTGCAGTGGACGTGGTAGGCGAAGTAGTAGACGCCGGGGATCTCGCAGGTGAAGATCCCCGTCTGGGGGTTGTAGTTCTGCCGGCCGTTGTAGAGGAGCTTGTCGAACTTCACGGGCACCCCGACG